GTGAGAAATGTTGCCATATGGTTATCAGATCAGATGATTGTGGCGTGGGAGCAGCAGTTCACCGTGGAGATGCAGCTACAAGGAGTGGCGGTCCACTCTTATTTCAACCGAGTGTTCTTCCTTCTCATCCTCACTTGTGTTTCCGTATGTGCTTTCTTATTACCTCAATGCTTGAGCATAGAAGAGAAAGAAAGGAAGGGAGGGGGGGGTGTACGAGAAGGGAGGGAGTGGCCGAGTGGAAGAAAAGGGGTAAAAGAAAAGAATGTAAAAATTAAAAACCCTTTTATAGGGTGTACAAGTGTGTACACTTTGTGTGTACAAAAACCTTTTTTGCAATTTATTAAGGGTGTTACTTCGCGCACCCATATAATACGGAGTAATTACTTAATGTAACTTAGTAGACCACTTTACTCTTTTTAATATATACTTCAATTTAAATTTAAACTAAAACTACTCTTAAGATTCACACAAAATAGGCCGCCCATATAGTATATACCCAGTGGCGGACCCAGAAAGTCGGAGCCACGGGGTTTATACTTGAAATAAATCTACATTTTTTGCCTCCAATTACCTTAAAATGGAAATCATGATCCCGAGGTTGAAACGGTCCTTTTTGAACATTATGGTGAAAATCAGCAATTCTTTTTCTTAATTCAAGATTCGCTTCCAAAGATTTAAAATTCTCAGGTTGTTCAGGTAGATTATAAGCCAAATTAGCTTCACTTTCAGCAATTGCTTGATCCAATTCTTCATTTATTAATGACGAATCATTTGAATTAACACCTGAACTACTCCCAATACTTTGAGTTTCTTTAAATTTGGGTACATCAAAATATCTTTTCATCCTAAATCGTATGAAATTGAAAATAACATTTATAAATCATGAATTTATTAATTTAATCTAACATTAAAAAAAAGATATGCAAAGTATCAAAGAAAAGCAGTTAAAAAAACTTAGAAATTGAAATCCCTATGTTTTGAGCATAAAGAAAATAAGACCCAAAAACTTGAGAAACGCCATTAACGGAGAAGAGAAGAGAAGAGTACCTTCAGGTAATCAGGTGGCGTGGAGGGAGGGGTGTGTTCGCCACCTCGCCGGTGGTCGTCGGCCAATCGCAGGTGGAGCCGTGGAGGGAGCTTAGGGAGGGTTCACAAATCGTAGCAGACTCGCAGTTGGGGCCTTGGGGGAATTGCCGTGCTTCGAGCAATCGAGCGTGAAAAGAAAAGAGGGGGGGCTGGGTGCCTGGGTCTTTTGTTTTGGGCCTAAGTTCCAAAATAAAACATGAGCTGGGTCATGCCTTCTGTTCAAGACAAAAAAAACGCTGAAAAAAAAAATAACACGAACAAGATTCGAACACAGAACCTCCCACAACATAAACACTTGGCATCCGCGCCTGCTCCCGTTCGGCTACTACATTCTTGTGGTTTTAAAGTGGCTTTGTGTGTAAATATACATTGAAACATTAATTTTAAATAATATATACGGAGTATATAATATATATAGGTTTTTTTGGAAGTGCACGGGGTCCCGGGACCCCTTGGGACCCTTAGTGGGTCCGCCACGGTATATACCATGTGCCTAACAATTGTTTTTTTATTTGTAAAGTGTCATATCTTTATCATTTGTTATTGGACCTTTACAGAAATCATATCAAATTAAATAACTTTTTTAATCTTTAATATGACACTATGTTACATATATAAATGAAGTTATCAGCAGAACATAATGGTTACAAATTTAATCTTTACGAAAAATAATTCTTGTCTGATCTGTTTAAGTCTGATCGGATACATGACTGATGGATATGAATTTTATTATTGTTAAAGTCTGATCTGATTTGTCCTAATCAGTTTTAGTTTAGTCTGATATGTTCTTTTTTTTTTTAATCTAATCGGGTATGAAATTGAAACCAGACAGAGTTAAAAACATTCTAAATGCATTTTACATATTTGTCCGTAAAATAAACTTGGTACATCCTATGATTTAAAAAATACAAATAAAGTAATATTAGCAATGTCCATATTTTGCAATATAGAATAGTACTCCATATATTTTAATTACAATATACGAAGTACTATCCTCCGTTCTTTATTAGTTGCAATAGTTTAACTTTCACACTTGTCAACACACAACTGTGATTAATAATATATTTGACTTCTTATTAGTAAAAAATTAAAAAAAATGATTGTTTAAAATTTACAATGAGAAGAATTTAACATTATTTCTCAAAAAATAAACTTCTAATATTATACATTAATGAATAAATTGTAATTGTAATAAAGTAGAACATGTAAATAATGTAAAATTCTAACATGTTACAATTACTTAAAAAAATAGAGATAGTGATAAATAGGATTCTTAACTTTTTAAATGAGGTCAATTGTATTCTACAAACAATTAAGTTAACTACTACCTTTGTAAAATTGCACAATTATTCAAATAATATTTGAATAAGGTAATTCAAGTATATATTTTGAGAAAAATGTTTAATAGATATATAATATAATGAGGTTAATGGTGATAACTATGATTTTATAGATATATTATTTTTAATATTTTATATTTAAATTGTTACTTAAGAGTAAAATGTTTTCTAAAATAGAAAATGGAAACTTTATATAGATCGTCCAAAAAACGAAAGTGAAAACTTTAAATGAAATGGAGGAGTAATACAAATGGTAAAATCGATTAGATGCCATGTAATTTAACAAAATAAACGGAAGAATGAGGAGCATATATACATACGCATAACGCATTACGTAGCAATTGAGGAGCTTTTATTTTACCCATTGTTTCATTTGTTAGGAAGTGACGCAAAGGATGAATTTGTCCAATTCTGAAAGAAAGTGGGTGCGCCTAGTAATAATCAGTAGATGCGAGTAGGGTTTTTTCGATTTTTCAGAATTTGCACTTCCGATTTTCAGAGTACTCCCTCCGTCCCTAAATTATCTTCAAACTTTCCTTTTTCGTCCGTCCCAAAATTATCTCCTCTTCCCCCTTTTAGCAAAAAATTTGTGGTTCACAACCATTCTTACACATTCTTACACATTTATCTCTCCTCTGCACAACTCTCCACCACACAAATCCCACTATCTTAATAAATGTGCCCAGCCGAAAAGGGAGAAAGATTAAGGACGGAGGGAGTAATAAATTTAAAATCTAAAAGGCAATTGCTGCAAATCTCTCCCGACGGCAGCTCAAATCTCCACCAAATTAAAAAAAAGGAAAAAGGGTCATATAGCCCCTTCTGCTGTATCAAATAAGTCACTCCAACCCTTCTACTAAAAAACCATCATATAGATACACTTACTATTAAAAAACATCAAATATGTCAAGATACTGGGTGAATGGTCGCAATAGCAGGTCATGGGTTGATTTCACATATTTTTTGCATTTTCATCAATTTTTTCATTTTTCTTTTCTTTTGCTTTCTTGTCTCGGCGCCTTATACAGTAGTTCGTACAATCGTACGTAGTATATGCTACGTAACTACGTAGACGTAGTTCTCAAATCTCAACCTCCTGACTAACATTCTCGTTTTCTTCCTCTATTGTTTTCTCTCTTCATTTTTTGTATTTCTTTTCATTTTTTGTCTTCCACTAAAATGCAAAAATCTCTTCCCCTTGTCTTACTTTACTTTGAATCTAAGAGAAAATGGATTGTCTTTAATTCCAAATTGGGACTAAGAAGCTATTATGTTCATCTTATTCTTATAACTTATTGCTTATTCTTATTTTATTCAGATTAGAAAAATTCAAACCAGAAAAATTCAGATCAGGTCAGAAACATTCAGATCCAATCAGAAACATTCAGACTAAATCAGATCAGGTCATATCAGAAACATTCATATCAGAATTATTATTATTATTAGTATTATTATTATTACTTCGTATTATTATTATTGTTGTTGTTGTGATTGTTATTGTTGTTCTTATTATTATTATTATTATTATTATTATCATCATCATCATCATCATCATCATCATCATCATCACCATCATCATCATCATCATCATCTTCATTATTATTATTATTATTATTATTATTATTATTATTATTATTATTATTGGGCCACCCAAACGTGGGGGCGGAGCGCCCTGCCGACTATGACTCCGGAGTTGAGGCCGTCGAAGGGGATGATCCACAGACGTTTGACTTAGGCATTCCGTGGACACCCCCCATCACATCGTTCTTATCCACAATGTTGTCGGGATTGCGCAAACTTTCTCAAGTAGGGCCTTAAAAGATTTTAAAAACGTGCTTTACCCTTTCCCTTAATTGTCATTCTTAAAGGATTTTAAAAAATAAAATATAACATAAAATAAGTCAAATAAAAAAAAAACTAAACAGAATAAATAAATAAAAATATACAGGCCTCAACCACCACCTCAACCACCTTCCAGCACCGCCGTCTCTGGGCACCGAAAAAGAATGCCAAATTCAAAAAATATCTTCGTGATGACAATTTTGAAAAACAAATATGAATATTTTCACCGACAACTAAGAGACTATATTTCAATATCACAAAAGCACTATGAAATACTTGTATTAAAGACAATTTAAATAATCAAATATTATTCCTCTTGTTTTTTGATAAATCAAGATTTTCTTTATTATTTCTTACTTCTAAACTACTATTCATTAACTTCTTCCCTACAATTTTTTTTTACCTTTTTCCGTTTATGGAAATCCAAAAGAGAATGAACAAAAAAAAGAAAAAAAAATTGAAAATGAAGAGAAAAGGGAAAGAAAATTGTGGAGCTCCATTCATTGAAAAGAAAAGGGAACGCAAGACAAAAAAATAACACGTACATTTTTAAAATAAAAAAGGAAATAAAACTGATACTCCACTGCTATAAGTATATGAAAGACAAAGAAAAGCAAAACTAAAAGAAAAGAAATCCATCTACGACCTACGTTCATAAGTCAGTACTACGTACGAAAGGACTTCAATAAAGAACATTTAGCGGCTGCAACAAGTCATTACAGGTCACATTGGTTTTAATTGATCATTTTTAGAGGGCAAGTATATATATATATGATGCTTAATTTTGTACAAAGGTTTATGTGATGGTTTCAAAAAAGTTGAAGGGTTTATTTGACCCTTTTTCCTAAAAAAAACATGAATGTATTATTTTGAAACAATTTCATGATTTTGTATATGAGTATACAAATATGAATAGCTAGAAACTACATAATAGTTTTTCATAAACTTAATTATAAGTGGCATAACTATTCCGCATCGCTAACTTTGCATATGGAAATATGAAGTTGAAGCTATTGAGCTCATTGAGAAGTTCTCTGTTGTAGAACTTTCTGTCCCATATACCTGCATCAAAAATAAAAACAATCAATACACATTCATAGACCCGGTAGATGAGTATTATCAATACCTAAAACATACATTAATTAAACATTGGAGAATGACCTATATATGTGGGATGATTAATGCCTTGAAGCAAATCTGTCTTGATGAAGTCTGTGTGCTTATTTTTTTTAGGTTTCATCATGTCCTGCTAGTTACTAGTTAAAATTTAATTAAAAAAATCTCTCTCTCATTCGTATATTAAGACTCCAAATTCAATTATAAAATATAAAATTAATAAAGAAATATCTAAATAAGAGTTAAAATAATGTTTTTTCTAAAATATGAGTAATATGTTTTTTCCTTACTAAATAATGTTTGGATAGTATCACCATGTATGACATTAATAATATTGTCATATTAATGCCTCATAATGCCAAAAAAGTAGTAATATTTGAGAATGTCAATTCTTTACTCTTATTTGGGTGAAAGTATAGTAATACTATTTAGGGAAAACAAATTAATTATTTCTACTCCTATTTGGGAAGCTTTTCAAATCAATATTTAGAGTAGTCACAATTCTTATTTGTGAATTTGTTGTCCTTCATTATATACCAAATCAATTTAAGGTGACTTAGGATGTTTTAATTGAACTGGTTTCAGTCCTGGCTAGATCAAAACAGGTCAGACCAGACGAGACCAAATTTCGAAAATTGTACAATATACATAGAACAAACATCTAGGAGACCAAACCTAAACAGACTAAACCAGATCAAACCAGATCAACTAGAAAACTACAGTTCAATTAAAAATATTCTTAGTCGACACATCCCTATCAATCTGAGATTTCTTAATGTTTTATGGCCAATGTTGCTTGGTTTTGTGTTGTTCACCCATACATGAGGTTGTGTGTGTGTGTGTGTTTAGGGGCACTGTATGTGTATTGTGGGGTGGGGGTGGGGGGTTGTCCTATCATCACCTTCCAAGCATCATGAGGGTGGCTTGAGGGTTAGTTCCAGGGGAGACAGAAAGAGTGGAGCCATCAATAACCCGTAACGCATCGACGCCCATCACTTTATAATCACGATCAACAACCTTATTGACTTCACAGCCCCCATGATAATGCCATAGAGTCATCACTGTGTCTATACAATATTGCTCCATGGAGTGATAAGCTGGAGAGGTCATGAATAGTCTGGGCCTCATGTTAAAAGGAATTGTGGCTACCAAGTCTACCAGAGATTCAAAAGAGGTGAAAGAGTACTGAAATGACGATAAGGCCCTTGACTCTACCAGATTCTTGATTACTTGCATGCCATTCACACATCTCTCAAGGTCCCTTGGGTCTTTGAAGTAGTTGAATGTGACCGTGGGATTCTCATTTGGGTCCTTGCTCTTCAATTCTAAGTGCCCTTTAGAGAAAGGGCCCTTCACCTTTCCCAATATGATACCAGCTTCGACCTTCATGCCTTTGAATAGGTCATCACCGAATGAGCCTCTTAGGGAATTTGCTAAGGCCGCGTTTGGGGCCAAATACAATCCACTCGCCGTTTCGATATAGCTTCCAAACTCAGTTATGCCAACGATTTGGACCAGTGACGTCTCCACCGGGGTAGCTGTAGGTATCAAAACTCCATTCATTGGGTTGTCAGACATGCCCTGACCCACCATTGGTTGGTCCAGTATTACGTTTATTCCTTGGGCTTTGAGTTGATTAGACGGCCCAATACCACTCAACATCAAGAGTTGTGGGCTGCCCAACGCTCCTGCTGAGAGAATGATCTCATTCTTGAGCCCACCGTTCAAGAATGATGTGTGCTCATTGCCTTTCGAGTCTCTGAAAGTAACTCCATATGCCACTGGTTTTTTCCCTGCATTCATATTACTAGTTAGTTAATGACGAATTCAATTATAGATGTTTTTTTTTGCATCATGGGTTTAATAACATGCATATATGTTGTTTATCCTTGAAAATAAACGGTACTCCATATTGATCGTATATATGTTACGTTCTTCACTTACAACTTTACTGGATCTGCAAAATTAATTCAAATTTTTCAGCGCTCTAATATTATTACTTTCATTGCAGTATCCTTTTTGAGATGTCCCAAATCAAGTTTCTACTTCTATTTTTAGTAGTATTTGAATGGTGGAATGCACTTTTATCCCTATAAAACGTAAATTATTGACTATTAGTTTTCTATTTTTAACTCCGCCATGAGATCATTTTTTTTGTATCATGCCTGTCCCAACCCAGGATAAAGGAGGAGGGTGCTGTGGTAGGCGCGTGACGGCCAACAGTATCACTTAGCCACATCACATGACATGAATCGAAATATGAATATCGCTACAGGTAGGTCATCGCCCGTAAGCGACGCAACATCCCTCTGCCTGGGGGTGGTATCAAATGAGCAAGGGCGCGCTACACTTCATAGGCCTGGGTGTGGTGATAAGAATGCTAAGGCTGCTAGGTCGTCGCCCGGAAGCGATGCGCCACTCCAATGCCCGAGGATGGTGTCAAATATGCAAGGGCATGGTGGGAGTCGATGTGGGGTGAAGAAGAGAAGACAGGGTGTTAGATTGCGCTTTGGGACATGGAATGTTGGCTCTCTTACGGGAAGAACATCTGAGATAGCCGAGGTTATGAAGAGGAGGAATATCAGCATAATGTGCATGCAAGAAACTAAGTGGGTTGGAGAAAAGGCACGCGAGATTAATCCCGGAGGTTTTAAGCTTTGGTACTCGGGGAGAGAGAGGAACAGAAATGGAGTAGGCATTATGGTGGCACATGATTATGTTGACGGTGTGGTTGAAGTGTTTAGGAAGAACGATCGCATCATGAGCATTAAGTTGATAATAGGGGATGAGATCGTGTCCGTGGTTAGTGCCTATGCACCACAAATGGGATTGGATGCATCTATCACTCAATAATTTTGGAAGGATCTTGAGGAAGTGGTGCGATGAGTGCCAAGGGGAGAGAAACTGGTCATAGAAGGCGACCTCAACGGGCATGTGGGCCCAAGTCATGATGGTTTTGAGAGTGTCCATGGCGGACATGGTTTTGGCACTAGAAATGAAGCGGGGAAGAACATTCTGGATTTTGCCTCGACATATGAGTTGGCTGTGATGAACACTTGGTTCAAGAAAAGAGACTCTCACCTTGTCACCTATAGAAGTGGAGCTAATAGTACCCAAATTGACTACTTTTTAGTACGGACGACTTGGAGAACTAGCTACACTGATTGTAAGGTTATCCCAGGTGAGAGTGTTGTCACTCAGCATAGGATGCTTGTGCTGGATTTTCAAGGTAAAAAGAGTGGACGAGTTAAGGTACAAGGGGAGCCAAAGATAAAATGGTGGAGGCTCGAGGGGAATCTCCAACAAAGTTTTGCACACAAAATGTTGGAGGAGGATGTTTGGTCTATTGATAATGACGCACACGTGGATGATGTGTGGTTATCAATGGAGTCCACCATTAATAAAGTGGCGAAGTAGATACTCGGAGAATCTAAAGGATGTCTGCCACCAAAAAAGGACACATCTTGGTGGAATGATGAGGTGAAACAAGCAATAAGGGCCAAAAGAGAATGCTATAAGAAATTGGGCAAAAGTTGGAGCGACGAGAACATAGAGGAGTACAAAGAGGCTAGAAGAAGAGCAAAGAAAGCTGTGAAGGAAGCCAAAGGAAAAGTGAATAAGGAATTGTATGTAAAGTTGGATTCTAAGGAAGGAGAAAAAGATATCTACAGACTTGCTCACCTTCGTGACCGTAGGACTCGATATATCGGAAAAGTTAAGTGTGTGAAGGATGTCGATCAAAGGGTACTAATGGACGATGAAGAAATAAAAGAGAGGTGGAGGTCATACTTTGATACCTTGTTCAACGGGGATAAAGTCCAAGGTATTGATGATCTTACTATACCAGAGTGTATGGTAAATAGGGACTTCGTGAGAAGGATTCAAACAACAGAAGTTAAAGAGGCTATGAGAAAAATGGACCGGAAGAAAGCAGTCGGCCCAGATGGCATACCGATCGAGGCTTGGAGAAGTTTGGGAGAGAAAGGCATCGAGTGGCTAACACGTTTCTTCAACATGATTTGGAGAAACAAAAAATGCCAGTGAGTTGGCGGAAGAGTACTCTCATTCCCTTATTTAAAAATAAGGGTGATGTACAAGAATGTGCTAACTATCGAGGGATTAAGTTTATTAGTCACACCATGAAACTTTGGGAGCGAGTGGTTGAGCAAAGACTACGTAAAAGTGTGAAAATTTCGGAGAATCAATTTGGTTTTATGTCTGGACGCTCAACAACTGAGGCCATTCACCTTCTTAGACAAGTTGTGGAGAATTATAGAGACACTAAAAAGGATCTGCATTTGGTGTTCATTGCCTTAGAAAAGGCATATGATAGGGTATCTCGAGAAGTTCTTTGGTGGGCCTTAACTAGAAAAGGCATATCGCGTAAGTATATCAGCATCATCATGGATATGTATGATGCTTGTACTACAAGTGTCCGCACTAGTGTAGGGAGGACCGCAGAGTTCCCTATTACTATTGGAGTGCACCAAGGATCTGCTCTGAGTCCTTTCTTATTTGCTTTAGTCATGGATGAACTTACGAAGTCAATTCAAGAAGATATATCGTGGTGCATGATGTTTGCCGACGATATTGTATTGATTGATGAGACACAATCCGGTGTTAAAGCAAAGTTGGAAGTATGGCGACAAACATTGAAGAGCAAGGGTTTCAAACTGAGCCAAAGCAAGACTGAGTATATGGAGTGCAAGTTCGGTGGAGGTAGAAGCAGTAGCAACAGTGGGATTACTCTTGATGGTAAGGAGATACCGGTGTGTGATATGTTCCGTTACTTGGGATCCATAATTCAGAAGGATGGTGAATTAGATGGAGATGTATGTCATAGAATCAGAGCTGGGTGGATGAAATGGAAAAGTGCTTCAGGATTTCTATGCGATCGAGGTATGCCGACTAAACTGAAAGGTAAATTTTATCGTACAGCAATTAGGCCGACATTAATGTATGGCGTAGAGTGTTGGGCGGTGAAGCAATGCCACATTCAAAAGATGAGTGTGACAGAGATGCGTATGTTGCGTTGGATGTGTGGACATACCAGAAAAGACCGCCTGCGGAATGAGGTAATCAGACAAAAGGTGGGAGTAGCACCTATAGAAGATAAGATGCAGGAGTCTCGTTTGCGGTGGTTTGGGCATGTGCATAGAAGACCGAGTGATGCACCTGTTAGACGACTTGAGAGGTGGGGAGAAGAGTCAGAGAAGAGAGGGAGGGGAAGACCCAAACAGACTTGGATTAGAGTAATCAGAACTGATATGCGTCTTCTTGGGTTGGATGAGAGTATGACTTTGGAGAGAGCAAAGTCGAGGACACACATCCATGTGGACGATTGATGTCTTGTCTACCTTTCCTCTCTTGTTTCTTTTACCGTTTATCTTCCTTATCTTTTTATATTCTTATATTATTTTTATCTTCTAGCTTTTTTATGCTCTTTTATTTATTTTTCTTTTATCTTGGTTATATTCTTTTGTTATTGTTATCTTATATTTATGTATCTTTATTTTATTCATTTTATCTTACTTTTTTTCCTTTTCTTGTCTGCCTTCTCTTTTTGGCATCGATATCATAGATCGATTCATGTTAGCCGACCCCAAATTCTTTTGGGATTAAGGCTTGGATGTTGTTGTTGTAGATTTCTATTTTACTTTTTAGGAAGGTATTACGTATTAATATTATTTGTATTATTGCCATTATATTATTATATTTTATGTCTTCTCTACTAGACTAGAATTATAAGGGTGTGCCTCAATAATGTCTTTCATTGGCTGCATCCTACTGAGTGTACTATATATGCAGTACGTATCATCATTAATAAACACAAGGTGAACAATTCATCTATTACTGCCTATACCAGCATTATCAACGGAAGGGCAAATTATTTGATGAATTGATAAAAAGGTAAATTCTGTGGTACCTTAAGGTATCGTACCTTTGTCCACATAGACCAATCTGAATGATGTAGTTAAATTATTTAAATTTAAATTAAAAATGATGTAATGATTTGAACCAATCAAGTGAGTGACATGTATAATACCCCAATTTTTAAATGGGTATTGAAGTTGTCACCTTGATAAAAATGTAATTTTGCCCAAACTAAAAACGTAATTATGGGACAGAGGAAATCTTTATCGACAAAACATACTGTATATGATTATAAGACTAATACGGAGTAGATTTTTTATAATGCTTTTATTATTTAAAAAAAGAAATCATTTCCATATGACCGATATTTTAGAAAAGCTGAAGCTGAACACATAGTTTCTTCTTAGTCTTACTCTTGATCTGGCCTTATGCTTTTGTAATGTTTTCTCGGAAGGACACGGATTTGCATAATAATAATAATAATAATAATAATAATAATAATAATAATAATAATAATAATAATAATAATAATAATAAGAATAATAATAATAATAATAATAATAATTATAATAATAATAATAATAATAATAATGGAGTATTAACTCCTAGAGAGAAGTGAGAGGTAGAGAGAGAAGTCCAATAACTCTTTGCAATAAATGATTTGTGAACCCCCTACAGCTACCCCCAAAGGGAGTATTTATAGAGGAAATTAGGGTTGGGCTCCCAAGTCTTAAACTTGGGAGACCCATTTACAATTGGGCCACTGTTGGGATAAGCACAAAATATGTAGAAATAATTAAGTGTGAAGTCCGGTTCTGGAAGCCCTCTGTGGCCGACGGAGCCATGGCCGACGGGGACACCCGGTTCTCCTGGCTTCTAGACCGTGTTCTGAGTTGATATCTTTCTGGCCGATGGAGGG